AGTGGTAATTTTGCAAATAAACATTCATAAATGGTATTTTTGCAAATGCGCACATAAAAAATAATATTTTTGCAATTTTGTCAAAGTAACTTTGGCAAGAAAAGAAAATCAAAGTAATTTTGTACAAATACAATATTCATATGCATACATTTGTAATATAGGATTACTCTACATCTGAAAAAATCCATCATGCAACTTTTCAAACTACCTGTAAAAAGTAAATTAAAAACATCGACAATTCGACACCACATTTGAAATATTACAGTTAAAAAAATGTTTACTTCTAGAACAGGGCTAGGCAAATTATCCGTTAAATTTGATCTGATTCGCTATTCGTTTTGATCCGATCCAAAAAAATTCGGATATCCGTTTTGAATCAAAACGAAGCAAATAGTAAAATATATCCGTCTAAATCGAACCAAATAAAAAAATACTAATTTTAAAAATCTAAATATCCGATTTGATCCGTATATTACTTATATATACATATAATATGGTAGATTTATAACATATATTTACATTTTATTGACTTTTATTTAGATTTGGCGAATATATTTATAGTAAAAATAGGTAGATACTAACTTTAGTTGAAATATATTTCTTAAATAAATAACATATATTTATTTTTCACCTTTTTAAATTTACACTTTTCATTTTTTTTTAATTATATCGAATAAAATTAGACCTATTTTATATATTTTTCATTAATTAGTTTAAATCTTATATTAAAACTTTTGTTTTGAAAAAAAGATTATGGTGTTTTAATTTTTTTTTGTTTAAAACAGATATCTGTGAAGATCCGGATATCTGCAAATATCCAAAAAAATCCGGATAAATCTGTAATCCCGGATATCCGAAATTTTTCGAAACAAAACAAATCAGAAAATTAGATAACCGTAAAAAACAAATCGAATCACAAATACTGCATTTTTTAGAATATCCGATCTGCGTTTAGGCCTATAATACATGATGCAAGTTACTTCACATCATCACATCTTACTATATAAGGTGCATGGAGAAATAGGAAATGTAAACAAGAAGAATGTAAGGTAAGGAAAGGTAATAG